CACGAAATAGAGAGAAACACAGAGAGAGAGCTAAGGGTGAGAGTTGAGTTGAGTTGAGAAGTTTTCTCCTCCTCCTTGTTTTGTTGTTTGTATTGCTTTTGAGCTTGATTAATACAAACCAGTAGCTCCGTGGAGTAGGCAAGTTGCCGAACCATGTAAATTTGTGTCTGTTTGAATGTTTGGATCTCCTAACACTAATCAGCAACTTCCTGAGGAAACAAGACTGATGATTGCAACAAAATTGGCTCAAGCCCTGTCTTATTTGCATTCTATGGATAGGCCAATAATTTTCAGAGATTTCAAGACCTCAAATATATTACTTGATGAGGTAAACGTCAGTATAATCTCTAGATTACCTGTTTGAACTCAAACCAAGCAGGAAATTATCGTACTGTAAAGCTTAAATTTACAATTTGAAAGCGAAATGGATCTGAAGAACAAACATATACTACAAGAACAACATGTTTTGAATTGAAAACAGCATCTCTCCACAATCCGATGCAATGTAGCCTAAGCTAAACCTTCAAGATTCCTATCTTTGCAAAACTTGAACGAAGATGCCTCCTTCATTGAATCTCTTATTTTTCTCTCCTAGCAGATAATCAGCATCTCTCTACAGTCTGTTTCTTGCCCTTATAATATTGTTAGAAAATAATATATATAAATAATATTATTAGAAAATAATATAAATTATATATTAAGACTTCACCTAATAGTTTAAACTTCTGAATTTAAATAGTTATTTAATATGATATCAAAATCTTAATGATTAAGTGATCACAAGTTTAAATCTCATCATTTTTATTTATTTGATAAAATCAAAAACAATATAATATTGACTTGTACAAGTTTAAAACTCATTCGAAAAATGTATTAGATAATAATAATATAAATCAGTAAATTTTCCTCTCATCTAAACATGGCTTGTGGTGAGCTAATTTAGAATACACAACCAACCAACAAATCTATGTATAGGAATATGCAAAAAACCATAGATAAGCTGATACTAGTTAATGCCAATGCCAACCCCTTGTCTCGTGATCACTTCCCACATGAATTATAGCAGAATGTTTACCATCAATCTTGATTTACTTAGAACATAAACCTCTTGTGTACGTTGTGTTGGTAGATAACACTATAATGTTAAAGATTCCCTAAGTCCTTTTAACATCAAAGTTTCTGTGTGTAGTCTTATACACCGAAGCTGTCAGATTTTGGCTTAGCAAAATGGGGACCCAATGATGGCACTTCATATGTAACAGGAAATGTTATGGGTACACATGGTTATGTTGGTCCGGAATATAAGACTGGAGGTAATTTCTTGTACCGTCAAAACTTAGACTTCTCAATGTTCGATGATGTTTTACTTGAAACTTTACAGCATCCGAGCTTAGTTAATTTAGAATTACTTGAGCCAGGGTATGAACTTGTAGATTTTTTCATGATATTGATGTTATGTGATTTGTTAGGGAAACTGTATGTAAAGAGCGATGTGTATAGTTTTGGAATAGTTTTGATCGAGTTGCTAACAGGCTTACGGGCGATCGATAAAAAAACGCTCGCCTAAGCAACAAGACCTGCAAGAATGGGCTTTACCATTTCTAACCGACAGAAAAAAGCTGAGACAAATCATGGACCCCAGATTGCAGGGGAAGTATGGTAGCAAACAAGCTTTGAAAATAGCATGCTTGCCGTTAGATATCTTTACTCGCATCCCATGATCCGGCCATCAATGAAAGAAGTTGCTGAGACACTGGAACGAGTAAAGCATCGGACTTGGCATTAGTACGAAGACATTTGAAAAACTTCCATTGCTGTTTCTTTCATGTTTCTTCTTTGAGGGAAGGAAGCAAAGGGTTGAGCTGATAAGGTATACAATATTTATTTATACTTATGGCTGAAGTGATTCTATCAATCGATCAATGAATCAGGTTTGCCCATTAGAATTTAGTACAAGTATTCTTGCACTTCTAGGTAGTATTTGTTTATTGTTTCGAGAGATAAAAGATATAAAGTAGACATTCTTTTATATCTCATGTTTTGAAATAATAAAAATTCAATTTAAAATTACTTCAAGCATAGATTTATTTTATCGCTCTCTACAAGAACATTAACCAAACACTTATATGATCCTTTTAGATTTGTCATTTCTACACTGAAACACTAACCAAATGCAATTTTAAGAACTGTGGCTAGATATTTTTTATTTTATTTTCTTATTTCTTCTTGGTAGTTTACAAATCTTTTTACCATTTTCAAGCCTAGCTATTTCTGAATGCTTTTCAATGCTGATCGTTCTCCGTTTACCAAAGCTGTTTCACCTCAATTTTGATCACCAATGGCTGCAACTGTAGTTTCTTTCTTGTTTCTTGTTTTCCCCCAATAAATCCTATTCCTCCGTCTAATCCATCATGACTAGCACATGTATTGTTTAAGGGCTTCTCCAATTATTTTCAGAAGGAGGATGTGATTGACAAAAGGCATGTATGTGGGGGAGGCCAGTTGATAAAATTGATAATTCGGGGACTCAGACCAAGAAACTATATATAATTTTGTTACTAACCTGAGGTTTGCTAAAAAAAAAAAATATTAATTAATTTCGCAGGAAAGTAAATCGAAAATTGGCTGTTAAAATTACTCTGCTTCAACTAAAATCTAGACAAGGAAAAAAAAATAAATTCAAGAAAGTTAAAAACAATACTCTCGTATAGTTTTCTCAAGCATCAATTTGTTCTAATTCTTCTGAATGAAACTTAATCCGAGCTAGGATGCATTGTTAAATTGTAATGATGAGTTCACATCCTCCTGAACTTGCATAGTTCATCAAATTTGACATTGATTCATAAATCCTGTGATTCAAGTTTTGATCATGCCAGTTGATAATACTTAAAAGAACAAAATTCCGGTCTTGGTTTGTCCAAACTTGTCCGGCACATCCTCTGATGTATTTTTTAAAGATTCTTATCAGCCTCACACACAAACTTTTAATGCTAATTTTTTCTATGTAAACATATAACTTTTTCTATGCAGAACAAACATTATTTTTCGTCATCAATAGCATGCATAACACAATAATCATTATCGTTGCATAATACAATAACTATCATAGCTAACCAATGGCATCATGCCAATTTTCTCCACCGTCTCATTTCCTTTGAAAAAAGTTCAAGGCGTAGTATATAAATACACCTAATTAATAAATAATGAGTTCTAAAATCTAAAATATTTAGGAATAAAATTGATATATTAATTTTTTAATTTAACCAATTGATTCATTCTCCATAATATTTGAAGACTTGATATAAAAAGCCCGGATGTTTAATAATTAGTAGCTGGTGATGTCTGATAACTTAAGGTAGTTAGTTGCTAGTACCTCCATGAAACCTCTTTTAATGGATGTAGGAATTCTTAAATATTTAAGTTCATAATTTTATATAAAAAGAAAATGTAATGATATTTTAAAGGAGGTTCTGAAAATATTTATACTAAAAATATTAATAATAAAGAGATTATGAATCTCAAGTTAGAGTAGGCTCTGAAAATATTTTGTGTTGAAAATATTAAGAATAAAAAGATTATGAACCTTGAGTCTAGATTTATTTTTTTACGAACTTTAAAAGTAAAAAAACATCTAATACAAATTTCTCTTATGAAAAGAAATAATTTGACACAAATATTATCTATTTTGATGTTCTAAATTGGTGTCAATAATATATTTATCTTTCTATAGCTGAAAATTGATAACCTTTCTCTCTTTTTTTCTCTATTTCTCGTCTCTTAACCAAGGATAAAAAAAAAATGTATCAAAATTAAATTGATAAAATATTGAAGAATGGAAATTATATAACTTACATTATTTTTTAAGTTGAAGAACCTATGTAAATATTTTTATTTTGATCCTTTATTTGTCAATCACGTCCCATCATTAGAATTCAAAATCAAATACTCTTTAATTAAGACTAAATTACCCAAAACAACGTTTGAGAATCAAATTAAAAAATATAAAATTTTACACAATTCATCCCCAATAATATATAAAAAGATGAATAGTAAATCTATTCACACTGAAAAACCACACCTTTTAAATTATAGGTAATTCTTAAGGCATCAAAGCCAATTCATCTTTCTTACTCTTATTCACTAACAAATTGGACTTCTTTCGACCTTCCTCAGCCCATCATCCAAATCCAAACACCACATCAGCCTTCTTGCTGCCGAATTGATATGTGCATGCTCTTCTGCTGGTCAAGTAGCTAAATGTATCAACTGGAGATGATGGGCCTACGTGGCCCATTGTTTTATGGGCTTCGGGCAAGCAGTTTCGATGGCACTACATTTTTTTCCCAAACAACCGACTGATGGATATGACAAGAAATAATTGAAATTCCGCGGCACAAAAACCTGACCAGCAGGTCGACGTCCATGTTATTAAATATAGCTTTACTTCAACTATCTAGGTGATAGCCAAGTGATAAGAATTTGAGATTAAGAGGTCTGTTCTCTTTGTAGTCTCAGGTTCGAGTTCTATATCTTTACTTCAAGGATTAAGCTGATGCTCCATAGCTTTACTTCAAGGATTAAGCTGATGCTCCATTAATTAAAATCTAGTTTGGATATTATTTTATATCAAATTAAAAATTTTATTAAATTTAATTAGTAAATAGACACATCTGTATTATTAAATTCAACTTAATCTAACAATTCAGTAAATTAAACCATCAATTGAGATTTAATTCGGGTAGTATCTTATATTAAACCGTATTGAAAGTTAACTCGATTAAAATTTAATTGATCTAACAAATTAAACTACAATTTAAGTAATCAAATTAAAATTTACATGTAATTTTATTTTTAAAAAAATCTAAAACCATGTTTTTTTTACTTTTTTTTTTTAATTCTTGAAACCACATCAATTTAAATTAATCCAGTAAATCTAGAATGACTTATCCAACCCAGGATCGGGATCTTTGGACGGAGTCATAAAACCAACTGGATTTTATAACTATGCCACCCGGGCTGAGAACATGTCAAGTTTGGGAGGTTTGACAAATGTAGATGTTACAGAGTAGATTCTGAAAGAATTGATTGTTTTTTAATGAAATACTGTGCACAATCACATCATGTACCGTCATAAAGCAGCAAATTATCAGCACAGGCCCTACCTGACACTTAATCTCCAGTGAACTTTTCTAAAGGAAAGGTGGTGGCTTTGCATGGACATGCAGTAACATCCATTCTGAAGCCAAGTAATTAGTCACCTGAATGGATTAAGCTTTGAAAGGATTTCCATTTCCCAGAAAGAACAGACTTTGACTTCTTGATGGATAGAATTCTGAGTAGCAGTAATTGCTCTGATCTCTCCCCTTTCTTCTTTCCACCAGAAAATCATCCAGACGCCACTGCAGACTCTGCAGCTTCGTGATGACCAGTTCACCATCCTCTTCAGTGTTAATGACGTTGTTTGGAATAAAACAAAACATAAACAAAAGCTTTTGTCGATGTCATCTGTTACACATCTCTATCAGAAATGAATAAAAAATGGAGGAGAGCCGTGGAGGAGAAATCTCGTCGGTATTTCCATAAATAAAGACCTTAAAACTTAAAAGTCAATCAAAAAGCCTACCCTCATCATTGATTCAAGAAAGATAGAGTTCTTTTGATGGGGATTCTCTGTTGTTGCACTTCTGGTCAATCAAATCCAGCCCTAGATACCGGCCCTGCTCCTGTTGTACTAGCCCCAGTATCAATCCCTGACCCAGACATAGCTCCTACCTCTCCTGGACATCTCTTAGAAGGTTGGTTTTCAACTATATCATATTCCTTTCATTTTCATTCCATACTTGATTTTCTTATTGAAAAACTCATTGCAAGCCTGTATCTTTCTTCTAACAGGTTGAATTATGCTCTATTTTCACTTCCACATTCTTTTGATAGTTTAGAGTCCCTTTGACATACTCCTTCAGGATTTGAGTTGTTCTTTAACTTTCGACTAGAAAAAGAAGTCATAATTAACTTTTGACGAAGAAAAATAGAGGACATAATCATGTCCAAGCACTCTTATCTTCTCAGTTTTTCGCTTGACTGAGGATATCATTAATCAAAGCAAGGCAACTAAGCAGGGAGCTCGATCCTGCTACAAAGTCAATACAAGAAACAGAACATCTAAAAGCAACAAGAAACTCTTCAACTACTACAAACTAACAGCAAGCAAATACATGCCAACTGAAATTCCAGCAACTAAATAGATCAGAATATCAGGGGTCCTTTCGGCTTCCTAGCGTAAGAATTTGAACTTGAAGCTTCATGAATCCTGTCATTTCTCTCCTTCCAAACAAAATATAAATCCACATTAATCCAGTCTAGGAATGCTTGAACGGAAAAGCTTTTTCCGCAAATACTGCTAGACAAATTCCAATTCAAATTCTGCATTCCGGTCAACTACTCTTCTATTGATGTTGCTCGATTGCCGGATAGTACTTCATGTTTGCTCCACTCCAAAGCATGAAAAAATAAAAGATCCCGCGTCTCTTTTCTAATTTCTGATGCTAGAAGATATTCTTGAACAGTTGAAATTGTGGTAATTTCATTATGTTTAAGGCCTTAATTTTCCCAACTTGCATTTACTCAGGTGAAATATCATTTCTGGTTAGCGATGTCACCGTTAACAACTGGTTCTCTATGGTAACCATGACTTTTACAAGGAGGAGGTCCGCTGCTTTGGGAAAAAATGCTCTTGAGGACATTGAACTGCCAGCCCTTCCAGATGAGATACCAGAGTCAAAGTTGAGAGTTTTCACGTTTGAACAATTGAAGACAGCAACCTTCAATTTTAGAAGTGATATGTTACTGGGAAAAGGAGGTTTCGGCAGTGTCTACAAGGGTTTGCTCAAAGAAAAGTTGTTATTTAAAGGATATACCAGGAAACGGCGGATTGCTGTCAAGAAATTGGATTCTGACAGCAAGCAAGGTCTTCGACAGTGGCAGGTAATTTCCTATTTATGATTGCTGGCAGTTTTCTCTAAGTTCATTTTATTAGTTGCCATTGAGGCGTGCTAGTGCAGGTGCCTTCTTGAGTGTCTTCAAAGGTATTGGAAAAGCATGGAAATGTCGCTGAACCGGATGTTCCCAAAACGATGTTTCCATGGCCTTTTCAATGCCACTGGTACAATTTATCTTTCATAGTTGATCTTTTAGGGCATCAATCTTCTGTCAGCCAAACATGAAAGTTTTGTTTCAAATTGTGAGGTTAGGTTACATATATACGTCTCGTCTGAAATGAAATTTTTCTTTCTGTTCATTGTACTCCTCCGCGGACGAAATCAAAATTGTTTCCTTACCTTCAGAGTCTCAGTTTTATTGTTGAATAATTATTTAACTGTTGCATATTTGGTTGTCATTTACTGATACAGACAGAGGTCGGTTTCTTAGCAAGGGTTTCTCATCCAAACATTGTAAAGCTGCTAGGATACTGTCAGGAAATTGAGAATGAAGAGTTGCTTATTGTCTATCAATTCATGAAGAAAGGCAGTTTAAATTACCATTTGTTTGGAAGTAAGAACACTCCTCTGCAGCATTAAAGTAAAGTTGTATTGAACAAAATACACAAGCTTTTCGCCAACGAAATAATTTCCTAGATCATCACCTCAGTTGATCTCTTACCACTGATGTTTTTTAACTTGTGCAGAGCGCTCTGATCGGCTTCTTCCTTGGGAAACAAGGTTAAAGATTATAACAGGAATGGCTCGAGCCCTATCTTATTTGCATACAATGGAAAGGCCAATAATTTTCAGAGATTTCAAGACCTCGAATATATTGCTTGATGAGGTAAAGTTCTTTAGAAACAGAGTAGCATTGAGCAAAACAAATCATTCTTTTATTATTATTTTTTTGAAAAATGAAATAATGTTTCCCATAAGAAAACTATATCCTTAATTCCATCTAACATCAGAGTTTCTGAATGCAGACCTATACCCCGAAACTATCAGATTTTGGCTTGGCAAAATGGGGCCCCAATGACGGTAGTTCACATGTAACAGGAAATGTTATGGGCACATATGGCTATGTTGGTCCTGAATATAAGAATGGAGGTAATTTCTGCTACTTTCTGAACTTGGATGCCTCAATGTTTGATTTGTTGATGGTGTACTTGGCTTGGTTTTAGTTTGTTATGATTATGGATTACTTGAAATCGCGATATAGACCTACATTATACTTTGTCCTGACAATTGTGATGTTATGGGGATGATCAGGGAAGTTGTATGTAAAGAGTGATGTGTACAGTTATGGGGTAGTATTGATGGAGATGCTGACAGGCTTACGGGCAATTGACAAAAATCGGCCGCCAGGGCAAAGGGACCTGCGGGAATGGGCTTTACCGTTTCTTTCGGATAGAACAAGGTTAAGACATATAATGGATCCCAGACTGCGGGGTAAATATGGGACCAAACAAGCTTCAGAAATAGCTGTACTTGCTGTTAGATGTGTCAAAGCAAATCCCACATTCCGGCCATCTATGAAGGAAGTTGCTGAGACATTGGATAGATTGAATCTCCAGAAGTAGCAATAGCAGGCCGGCTATTGATTCAAGAAGCAGTTGATACAATGGATTGAACTTCGATTGTGGTTTATATAAACATGTTACATATGTAAATTGAGAAACACTCTGATCATTTCTGGTCCTGCAAGATTTAGTTTGTGATCTGTTTCACTTCCACAATGAGAAGAAGTGTCTTTGGTGTGTAAATAATGTAAGAAGATAATTAAGACGTGCTTAATATACAGCTTAGGCAACACAATATTATCTTCTTTGACAATTTATTATCGAAAACCTGAAATAATTCAGCCTTACAAATCTGGTGTTAACTAGATCTGAATCACTCAAATAAAAAGGGAAGAAATGTAGTCTGTTTCAAAGGGAGCCTTATTACAGAAAGAAAAAAGAAAGATTCAGATAACCTCCAATAATCTTCTCAAAAATCAGTAACAGATGACAGTTGCTGCTGAAATGAAACAGAATTAACAGTTTATCGTTTAGTAATCACAATACCGAAACGCAATGGAAGGCACATGTTGAACTTTGTAGTAATCCTCTCCTCCATTCTCAAGCCTAGTTCTGAATGCCTTGAGCATTGACCGGATCTCCATTTCACGGAGACTGGTAATGAATCTTAGCCCTTCTGGGACAGTCTTCAAGGACGTGCAATTTGAAATTTCTAAATGGAAAAGATTAGCCATTGCTCCTTCAACAACCTCCCACTCTTCTAGGTTTGGCAAGTCATAAAGGAACAGAGACTTTAGTTGAGGAAAACCTTTGTCCAAGCAAACCATTTTGTTCCCAAGAAACGAATCCATTTGTAAGCGAAGAATTCTCAAGTTCGGCAGCTTCTCCAGTGTTGGCATTGGGTCTTCTGTAAGTTTAGATCCCAGCAGGTTCAATTTGGCTAGGTTTGCAGAGAACTGCTGACACTCTGGTAGCTTCTCTATCTGCCCTTCTATATGCAGCTTATAAAGATTAGGGCATCCTTGTATAACTTGAACGACTGTTGAATCTTCGTTACTAACAAAAGACAGTGATTGCAGGCGGTAAAATCTTACACGAGGGGTTCTGAAGATTGCCCCGAACTTTGGATCATCTATCACTAGTTTCTTAAGATGATTCAATCTTACCAGATCAGTTATCTCACATTTCTCTGCAGGAAAGTTCACGAGTGTCTGCAAGTTGACCAGATTAAGTAATTGCCATTTGTAAGAATCTTCACCGCAGGATTCAGGAAGATACAGGTGTCGCAATCGATACAGCCTCCATACTACGTTAGGTATTTGTACAGTTGAATTCCATGTCAACAAGTCTAGAGTTTGCAAGTACCTCAAATTGCCTATTGTAGATGGCAGCTCATCTATATCAGTATCTCTCAAGCTCAAGAATCTCAAGTGGATTAGCTTTCCAATTTCTTTCGGCAATTTTCCACCATGACTCTGAATACCCTCAAGATCCAAGACTCTTAGTAATTTGAAGTTCTTGAATACAGATTTTAACGATCCCCAGTTCTCTACATGGCATGCTTTTTCATGGAAATACAAAAGAGACCTGAGATGGGAATTTCTTTTGTATCCTGAGGGAATAAATTTATGAAGATCTCCTTCCAAAACAACTGCTAGCCTGCGAAGTCTACCAATTGACCTTGCTTCCCTCACCATAGACCAAGGAAAGGAATCTGCCAGGTGATCACTAGCAACCGACTGATTGAAAACCTCAAGAAAATTTTCCTGCTTTGCTTTAGATACGCATAGATCTCTCATAAGATCATGCATGCGGCAAGTTCTAATCCTTCCAGTTGTGCCCCTCTCTACCACCTGAACCATACACCTCTCTACCAACTCGCCCAAATAACGCTGAGCCACATCCTCCATAGTTTCTTCCTCCACTCCATTGTACACACTAGATACAAAACCCTCAGCAACCCACATTCGTAACATTTTCTTTGTTTGTATCTCACAATCTTCTGGGAAATGAGCCAGGTGAAGAAAGCATGGTTTCAACTGATATGGCAATTCATGGTAGCTTAAGGCTAGCACCTCAGCCACTCCTAAGAGTTGTTCATCGCCTTTACCTCTCCTCAAGTGGGAAATGATATTTTTTCGAACCACGTCCCACTCAAAGGTAGTCTTCTTAGTCGCCAACAGTCCTCCAAGCACAATGATCGCCAATGGTAGACCTGTACACTTTCCGACCATTTCCCTTCCCAACCTCTCTATTTCTGCTCTGATTCTAAGGTCTGCAAAAAGAAAAATATAAATTTTAGAGCAATGAATGTTCAAAAACACTGGTGCCGATGATAGTGGCAATAGTCTCTTTGCTGAAATACCTCTGCAAACCTATGTTACCATTGAACGATGTAGAAATTCAAAATCCCACACTTCCCAATTAAAGAAGAACCACTTTAAGAGGTAGAAAAACATATGCACTTATCAAGCAAAATAAGTTGAACCAAGTTGAATTTCGGCCTACTGAAATCCGGCGATTTTGCCATGTTCAACCTTGAACTTCATTTGACAATATCCTTCCTCACATCTACTCATAGAGATAAACCCAACTAAGATTTGCTCTCTTCCTTCATATGCTCTGTATCTAGACAAACAAACACTAAGAAATTATCTGAAAGTGGGGTAGTTCTGGTTGCAAAAACATTACCTGGATAATTATTGTCAACACATGCCTTCTTTTTTAACAATTCCCAGCTCTCGTCATCATTCAACTGGGGTGGAACATGCAGGAAACATGTTGGGTCAGGATGTAAAGCCACATCCATCTTGCGAGTAGTTAGCAATATTTTACTGCCTGCAGTTTTCCAGTATGGAAAAGCAGGACACAGATTATTCCATGTTGGTATGGTCCAAATATCATCAAGAATCACCAAACATTTCTTCTCTAGTTGGACTTGATAAAGCCTCTTCACCAACTCTTCATCCCTCAAATTGGCAATCTCCTCTCTTTGTTCTTTAGATGGATTGGTGAGCTTAAACAAGATTCCCTCCCAAACCTCCCTCACTTGGCATTGTTGAGATACATAAGCCCAAGCAAAAGCATCAAAATGATGTCTAACCATACTGTTATGATATACCTTCTTGGCAAGAGTTGTCTTCCCTATTCCACCCATTCCACAGATGGACACAATCCCATTACTGTTCACCAATTGCTCTGCCAAAACTTTCACATCTTCCTCCAACCCAACTATATCCTCCTCAACAATATGTGAGTAAGACCTCCTTAACTGCTGCTGTTGCCTCCCTAATCCAGGGCTCCAATCATCATTTCTTTGTATTATCCCATATGTTTGCAAGCTATTGGTGAGGCTAGAAATTCTATTCTTAATAATTTGGATCTCATTTCCAACATTATGAAGCTCTATAGTTTCTTTAGCAAGAGTGGCATACCTCTTCATAACATTCACCATACCTGATCTCCTTCTTAAAGCTACTTTGAGTGCAAACTCTTCAATAATATCTTCAGCATCATAAGCAGTTTCTCTGATTTCTGAGACCCAATTTTTAACACTCTCTTCTTCATCTTGTCTTCTGTCTGCATCTCTCAGGAAAGACTGCATCCTCTGCAGTTCAACTTGCATGCCATAAACCTCCTCATTCACTCCATCCAAGAAAACTGCTTCTTGAATAAGCAAGTCTCCAAGCCTTTGCACCACAGTCGACACTGCAGATTCAGCCATGCTATGTCTCAAGACACTCCTTACTCCCACCTTAATCAAAACAAACAAAAAAGAACAGAAGCTTTTGCTTTGGGTTTGAGTTTAACAAGAAAACAAGAGAGACCCCGAAAAATACCAGTTGATCTGCTACAAAATTACTATCTTGTACTGGCAGTTCTTGAAAATGAGAAATTGGGTGCGGGCTGCCTGGTAACTCCACAATAGTTTTCTGCAAACACTTCCAGAAAGTCTTCTCCTTGAAAAGTCCAGGAGATATCCCATAATCATGACCCACAAACGGCGTTGTAGTCCCCAGTTAATTCGTTGAAAGTGGATTGTTTGTGCTAGGAAACAAAACAAAACATTAAAAGATGAAATTAATTAAACAAAAAAATCTCCACAATAACCAAACTGAGCATACAATATTATAAATGTTTGCCTCTTTCTTAATTGGATGAGGATTAAATTTTGCCAAAATTTATATAGCAAGTTGATGTCTGGGAAATCTTTAAAATATGAGCTAATTTCTTTTTCTTTTTCTTTTTAGATTTTATATTGTTTTTCCTATTTGACTTTCTACTTTGTAAAGTCGGTTTCTAGTCTTGTAAATCTACAAGGAAGCAAGCAACTATTTTTTTATTTTTATTTATTTATGATTGTTGTTTTCTTATATTATTTTCATCCACCTTACAGAATAAGAGAAAAGATTTAAACAGGGGAGAATCTTCCATTTCAACTCTAGCAATAAAATAAACTTCGTTCCCTACCTTTCACATATTACATCTGTAACGTTTTGAAGTAATGATTTGAATAAATAAGTAGAAAAATATAATAAAATTTTTGGTGGCTTAAAGTGTAGGTATAAATAAATGAGGAGTAGTATAGTAATTTAACAAAACTTGATAAATATAAAAAAAAATAAAAAAAAAACAAAATAAGTAATCTGAAAGTTGAGAGAGAATCGGCGAGAGAGAGAAGGGAGAAAGAAAAAGAAGAAAAAAAAAAGAAATTAGAAGAAAAATAGAAGATAAATTATGGGGAGAATTCCTGTATAGTTATGAAATTTTAACACTTTCAATTTGGTCCTTCAATTTGACAAAAATTACCATTTAACCCTAAAATTTTTTTTGATAAAATTCCAGAATGGTCCCTGGAGTATAATGAGTTGATATGAACAGAAATTATGATTGATTATGGTCAGAATTTCAGTATATTCATGGATTTATGATATGTTTAGTTTGTTCTCCAAATGGATAAAGTTACAATTTTACCCTTAAAAATATGATAAACTACAGATTAGTCCCTGGCTGTAATATTAGCTTTTGCAGATGGGTTTGATGAATAATTGAGGATTAGTTAGTGAAGTATTACCAATTTTATTATTTGTTTTATTATGGATTAGATTTTGAGAAAACCGTTAATTTTTGGGTTTTTGGAATATAACTAATTAGTTCAAAAATATATAGGGTTATGGAATATATCTTTAAATAAGTGTATTAAATAGGTTATATATTCTTTTGAGTCATTCTTGAATATGTCTCCTTTGCATTCAAATAATCCTAATATTCTACCGGCAAGACGTCAGTAGGAT